TCGATGTTGGTGTTAGAGAGAACGGGAGTATGTAGAGATGAATTGAAACAGTCAGAATCATGTTCTCGTTCAGGCGTAAGATGGAACTTAAATCTAATTTTCCGCTGAACACACGCGTTCTTATTCAGCTTAGCCTCTTAGAATAAAGCAACTCGGCAGCATTCCGACAGATATGCTTTCCGAAAACGAGTTTAGTTTTGGAAAGTCATCTTTTCAGTCTGTACAGAATTCTTATTCTGTGATCCAGCTGCACTAAGTCAGCTTTCTCGGACAAAAGGTTCTGTATTATCAAGTAAGTGTCACACATTTGCACATTGCTGTATGCTCTAGTAGCCGGATTTGCCCAGAAAATTTGTCTAGAAGCCGGAATAACGCAGTTACTTGAGAGAGTGATTGACGTCGATGTTGTAGTTGATGTTGATGCTAGAAGAAACGAGAACATGTAGAGGTGTGCTATAGCAGTCCGCATCATGTTGTTGTTGAGGTGTAAGACAGAGGCGTGTTACAAGCTGTGTGTTTCATATAGATGGGATAGTTATTCTGTTATGCGATAGGCATGTTCCCTTCATGGGAAAAACCCCTTTACCTCGCAGGGTGCTTGGCGTCGAGGTTGTAGTCGCTGTTGATGCTAGAAGGGATGATGGCATGTAGAGATGAATTAAAACAATCAGAATCGTGTTTTCATTCAGGTGTAAGAGGGAAATCAATCTAAGGTTCTGAACACGCGCCGCGTTATTTAGTTTAGTTTCTTGGATTAAAGCTACTAGCAGCGTTTCGATAGGCATGCTGTCCAAAATCAAGTTTTGAAAAGAGATCCTTTAGTCGGTAAAGAATTCTGCTTCTATCGTGCAGGTGTACTAAGTCAGGTTTTTCTAAATGCTGGGGGAGAGAGAAATCGCTGTTGCGTTTTTTTCATTACTTTATGCTCTTTTAGCTTAGTCGTGTGCAAGCTAGGAAAACACAGTTACTTGGTATACTGTTTGACGTCGATGTTGTAGTGGATGTTGATGCTAGTGGAAAAGACGACATGAAGAGACGAATTAGAGCAAGCCCAAATTTCTGATGAACACACGCGTTATTCGGCGTTGCTTCTTAGATTAAAGCCGATGGGTGGCGTTGTAACCGATGTATATTTTACACGAGAGAAACCTACCTGTAGTGGTCGATGTTGAACTTGCTCAGAAAAAGAGGAAAGTATGTTAGAACAGTCAATTGCCACACTAGTTACTTCTCTGGGACTATATGAAACTAATTTCGGGTACCGTAGACAAACGGAATAAAGCAACATTAGAAACTAGTGTTGAGGTCGCACTTAGTGGGTGGAGACCATCGGCCGTGGACGGCAACAGGTGGCTTCCCGTCTGGGGAGGTACTTGAAATGTGTTGATTTTGTCGCTGATAATAGTCAGGTGGGGTAGCGATCAGCGTGGTCAGCAGGTGCCTTATGATGGATTACGAGCTGTGATACATTTGTCATTACTGTATCCTGTTGTAGCTCATTCGTCTACAAGCTAGAAAAACGCACTTACTTGGTATTCTGATTGACGTGGATGTTGTAGTGGATGCCGATACTAGAGAAAACGAGAACATGAAGAGATAAATTCAAACAGTCCAAATCATGTTGTTGTTGAAGTGTAAGCTGGAAAGAAAGTCTAATTTTCTGCTGAACACACGCCTCGTTATTCTGCTTAGCTTCTTAGGGTAAAGGTAATGGCTAGCGTGTCGATCGTGCTACGTTGAATAGTGCACGGAGTACATAAACATCTTCAAAATTACCTTGTTTCGGTGGTGAGGCCTAAGGGTCCCACACTAACAATATTGTATGTGAACTAGTATGACTCTTCTCCGTCTGAACTGTCCTTCTCTGAGATTCAAAAAAGCATTCACTTCCAGTTGTGTTTCATGAAGGCAGTCTTCGATGAAATCTACAAATATCCCTATTTAAATTTAGTTAATTAGTGTCCCGTCATCCCATAGATATACTCAGAAACTCTCGTAATAATATAAACGACTAAACTTCTTTCTACTCTTTATGATCTACTGTTTTTGTTAACGGTTAAAGTGTCTTGATACGTGTTTGTTTGTAACATCTCCAACATAGGCAATGCGAAATCTTTTTTGTCGTAGTAATCATGCCGCTCGGGGAAAGCAAAAGAACGATTCAAAAGTCTTACAACCGCTGGCAAATGTACTTTCTTCACTTTTCACATTACTAGCGCGATAAAATCGTTGAAACCCGTATTAAACTGCAATCTCACATGCATAATTCCCACTTCAGCAAGGGTAGCAGACATGTGTGTGGTTTGGATCTCACTTTGCAGTAAATCGACAGCGCACGAATAGGGCAACAAACTTTCGTTTTCTCACTTATCGATGACTTAACATCACCTTGTGTTGCTAAATGCGGCAACATCTCGCTTCCAAATATAAGCTTTAGCTTAGCATCATCTCAAGATATACACATACCAGCATTTGTCAGTGTACCAGCCATAGTGGCCTGCTTCGAACTTGTTTCCATTGCTTCAGCAGTATTTGTTCCAATGAACTCAGTAGGAGGAGAAAGTTCAGTAATCTTTTCCGCTGATGCAGTGCTTGGTGACTCTTCAATAGTTGTTTCAGTTAATTTAGTAGTGGATGTCTCTTCAATGATGATGACAATTGAACTTAATCTTGAAGTAACGGCCATCTTGCTGCTTCCTCGAATTGAACTTGAAGAAGGTGTCTGGTTTGAGCTTGTGTCATCTGAATAGCCAGAAAAACAGTTTTTTCTTTAGATGCACTTTTATATGAAAAACCTACAAATTTGACAAACTTTCCTTGTTCTAATAGATTAGGATAGCAGACAATTTTGTGAGACTTTTGGTTCAGATCGCAGAAAGAAAAGAAAATTTCCATACTCTATACGATCATCATTATCTTATTCTGACGTCATTCAACAAAAACAGGAAAAAAATGAAATTATAATGGTTTACTTACTGTTCATGGTTGAGCGTGTTCCTTCGCTAACTTGGATGGTTCTCGTCATTCCTGTTCGTTGGGGTTCATTTGGAATACTAGTTTTAGGAGATTCGCCTGTAGGCATTATGTACTCTGCTGACTGGGTTTCTTGTGATTGTACCTGCCCAAGTATAGTTGTGAAACTTGATGAATGAACTGAAGCAGACGATATCGAGCTTTCTCTTGTTATTATTTCTCGTATATTTGTAGGAGTGAGTTGGTTTGTTGACTCGATCGATACGCCAAGAGGTACTGAAAAAGATTCAATGCATCGAGTACCCTAACTGCGGATAGATTTAAGTAGAAAAGTATACTGTTTTCTGAGATATAAAGTTTCAAGAACAACAAAGTCAACTTTTAAAATCGGTTTTATATTAGTAGTCATAATCAATGATAAACACTCTCGGCGAAGTCTTCACTAGTGAACGTTCAGATAACCTAGAAAAATGGGTATGCAGAAAAGTTAACTGTTACCCAAGGATGCTAACGTTTTCATTCCGAAAAATTTCCATTAGTATCAATAAGTCAAGAATATAAAAGGAAAAATGGTTTGGTAACTGTTCACAGAAAATTCGACTGCATACTGCAGAGGTGTGATGGACTATCATTGGTGAAGAAAAGTATTCTATTTGCATTCGTTATTTTGCCTGTATTTGCCACTTTTCTTTTTCTTTTTTTCTTATTTCTTATTTCACTTTGCTTATTTATTTTAATTCTTCCAACAGTAAAACAAGTCCCTTCTGTGCCCAGACTTCTTAAACCTAAGTACATGCTAGATGACCGTTTGTTTAAGGATAGTTATGATAGATGGATAGAGAAAAAATAATTACTGATTTATTTAAACAAGTCAGCAATGCTAATATGTATGCATATTAAACATTTTAAAACCTCGTGCTACTTCGTACCCTTCTTTCTTTCGCTATCAATATGTTATGGAGAAACGTTTTGCATGAACTTTTTGTTGAACAATCTGCCATGTAATACATACTAATTCTTTTGTATATCTTGGTTATTTTCTCACATGAGATCGATGTTAGATAAAAGGTAGAAAAAGCAAATAGAGCTAAAAATATCATTGACAGCATCTTAAAGCACCAGAGAAGCGAACATAGAAAGCCTGTTTCAGAAAACTCCTCTGAAAACAATGTTGGTGCATCCCAGTCTCCTCTTTTGAATGGGGGAAACTGCAGGTCTGTATCCCCTTTCATTCAAAAGTTATAAGCATGTTGTCCAATCTTCTTCTTTTTAAATTTCGAGAATAAATTGTTTATCTACTGCACCTTTTAACCAGTAATGTGTATAGCGGTTCACGAAACGTCTCGAATAAACAGTCAGCATGATCGTCTAAGTGCCTATGATTCTATCATCTCTTTTTAAATGTATTCACTGTATTGTTAAAAGTCAAAACAATTCATTTATCTACTCTTTTTGATAATGCAATTTTTATGCCGATACAGTCGAATGTCCCTTCCAAGGGACATTTCTTTTTCGATATCATATTGTGACAGTACATAGCTTTAAAATGTACGGGATAATTTCATAAAATACTTGAACGGAATGCTTATTAATATCAATCATGAAAACAAAACTACATACTATATCTGTGAATAGACGAAATTTTCAAAAAAAATCTTTAAGTCTAAAGAAATTTTAATTTCAAAAATTTACTGACTGGTACAGAAGCCAGTTGCGAACGTTTTGTTTTCACCAAATAGTCTATGAGACTATTCTAGTCTGGAAACACTTTGTTTTCAGATACAGGATGTTGTAACCATTTTTTTACGGTAGCTATATTAATGTCTTACCTACGCTCAACCCCACTATATTACACAAATAGCAACTCAGAAGCATGTTTTCTAATTTTTTGAAAAGAAATAAAAAACGTAACACGTTTACACTTGCAATCCTCTGTACGTAGAATGCTATCTCTTATTTATGTTTTTCTCTTAGTGTACTCTTAGTGTGAACTCTTGAATGTTGGTTAATTACAGAAGAATTTTGGCCAGCTTTTACTAAAAACAAGGACACAGCAACGCTCTTTATTATGAAAGTTTTGTAAATTCTTATTTGTTGATTTCTTATAAATCAAATATAAAACAATCCAACTATTGTACATCCTGATAATTCGTAAGTACCTTTCTTAACATGCTTTTACCTATTGATGATGAAACATGATTCCATACAAACCCAGATCATGTTTAAAACGATTTTCATAATATACTAATTCTAATGGTGCTCATTGCTGAGCATTTTCCAGCATGTTGATTTAATAATTGTTTTACGAGAAATTAGCATCCTTTTTCTTTCTAATGGCACTTTGCTTGATTTTCTTCGGTAGCGAAAGAAAATTTATTTAAGACCTGAAAACTATCAGGTTTCGTTGAGTCTTTTGTGCTCGTTCGAATGATGTGTAATTTAAGAAAATCAAGCGTATGACAATGTTGCTACAACTAGAAGAACAAGAAATACAGAATTCTTCATTTTTTAAACAAAACTTGTTGGTACTATTTTTTATTTTTTTTCTCAACGAGGAAAAGTATTTAGATGGCAAAAACTTGAATCTGCAGGTGACTTTGGACGGGGAATTCGAAAATCATATTTTAAAAAAAGCTATTGTTCCAAGGTTTTATCGTCTTTTTACAGCGTTCGCGATTCTCTCACAAAGTCTCTCTTTTAAGAATCTTGTGAATTTCTATAAGTTTCTTGCAGATATACTGTGAGATTCCTGTAGAAATCCTATATAAGATGTGATCTCTAGAGCAAGCTCTTCTGACTAAAAACTAAACGAATTTTCAGAATTTTTATTTGAAAAACTCTCACTCATAACATTACTCTTTCATCTTATGGCTGTATATTTGTTACGGAAGATTTTAATGCTCATTGTTCAAAATATCATAATAGCACAAGAACAACAAAAGAAGGTGAAAAAATTTACAATTTATTTAACAGTCTTGATTCAAACAGCTAGTTAAAGGTTGTACTAGAGCTTCATCTAACACATCCTTAGATCTATTTGCTGCTACAAGTCTTTCTCTAACTGAACCTCGATTCTTCCGCCTCTCCGCCACTCTTGTGATCATTCTGTACTCTGTACTAATTTAACTCACCCTCAAATGATTTCAACATCCTTTCGAAGAACAATTTACAATTAAAAGTATACAGACTGGAAGTATTTCCATTTTCTAACACACAAGTAACATTTACCCTTCTGATTCACTTATCCCCTAACAGGAAAGGAATCGCCAATACCAAATTGTTTCTGTAGAATAAAATAATTATTTTCTTGTTCACATTACATTCTCAACAAGCAGCAGCAAGCAAGTACTACGACAGTTCTGACGACCATCATTGCTCTTGCAAGGCAAGAGATAAATGAGATACATTCTCATTTCTTAAATTCTTATTTCTAATCACTCGCATATTATGTCTAGACGTCTCCGCTAATAAACTTGTGTCTACGCCCTAGCACACGAGGGGTAATCCTTTGACTTCAACGTTTATCTTTCTATTCTGTTGTAATTTTGATCATGTGGTGAAAATTTAAACGTGATATCTCCGATCGCTTCTGAGAAAACTGTATTTTACTATGAAAATGTCACCTTGTAATAGCAATAACTCCATGAAAATCTGAAAGAATCTCTACTTATCATACACCATTCGATTTGTCTTTGGAAGGCAAATCGTTGTATAAAGATTGCAAAATTTTCTCGTTAAGCGAGCAGCGAATTTTTAGGAAAACTTTGTCTCTTATCGTCAAACACTATATTTTTCGGACATATTTGTATTATGGTTAACTCACTCATTACAACCTGCAGAGTCATCTGCCCTTCTGGGATTGAGATCTGTCTTCTCGGTCAAAATGGTCACTAAGCCTAGAAAAAGCTCAATAAATTCCAAAAGCGCGATTGGAAAAAAAGACGAAAAATCGGAAACCCGGGCATTGGACAGGATTCAGTGAAAATCGATTTTCTTCACTAATATTCCATTGACTGCTGGGAAACTTTGCTTTTATGCACATTAAAGGATGCTCTACTGAATGGCCGTTTCAAAATATTTTGATCTAAATGTTGAATTTTTTTCGTCCTAACAGTACAATGGCTATACGTTTGACCTATATATCTTTTTTTGTCCCTATTCTGTATTCTAGTGTCTTATTTCATTCTAGAAAGTAACCTAGTATCGTCTAACAAGGCCGCGGACATAAATACATACATATAGGCATTTTAACTCGAGAAGACCCTTTCGATTTCAGTCAAGGGAAATCACGGTTACAAATAATGAACAGCAATTAGTAGTCTACTTTTGTCTACTGGCAATAAAATCTTTCAAATGACTGATATTGTACTTACAGCCGCAAAAAAAGCAATTTCAAATAAATTAATATCAGCTAAAAGAGGTTATAAACCACGAAACAAGTCTGCTCTTTTAGTTAGCGGCTGTATGGAATTTAATCTCAAGAAAATAAGTTCTTTCAGCACTTTCTTAGACATATCTTGGATATCTTTTGAGGAAAATAAATTAATACTTGCTTTTAAAATTGTTCATGATCTAGTAGCAGAGTACTTACCTTTTATAATTTCTTTTCAGAGCAAAAATAAAAACTATTCTTGCAGATCTCAATCGGTCAAGATATTGACATCGAACTAGAACATAATTAATCCAATTTCTAATCATAAAAGGCTTGAAGCAAAACGCTTTAAAAATTCTCGTTTTCCTCAAGTTATTTCTAGTTGGAATAAATTAGATGTGCATCTACGTTCATGTGCAACATTGAAATCTTTCACAGAATGATTAAAACGTCAGAATCAAACAGAAAGTGATTTTAGGATCTACGGGCATACCTAGGGAATCCGACAAAATTTATCATCAAATGAGATGTGCTTTCTCTTCTATAAATAACGATCTATTTACAAAAAAATGAGTCGCTAATAAAAGTTGTATTTGTGGGCAGAAAGAGACTATTAAACATTATCCACTTGATTGTCCTTTCCACACTGCACTCACAATTGCTCTATTCAAAACAACAGAATTGCGACAATAGCGATTTTCTTTTCTTTTTTCTTTTGTTTCTTATTCTACTATATGGCATTGTGGAGAAAACAATACACGATTACTTTCAACGAGAAGAATGAAAAGAACAAGACAGAGTGATGTCTGTACAAATCACCCTCATTCAATGTTTCGCTCGTAACTCAGCCGGTTTTTGATCAGACTAAAAAATCTTCCCGTTAGATTCGTAAGACTTTCCTCTATTCAGACATATAAAAAGACCGGCGAATTCCATACGCGTACACTGCAAAGAATTAGATAAATGTCAGTTTTTTGTAGACATGTATAGAAAGTGCATTTCTCTACATAGGCACTTGATATCTTTTTGGTCTTCACTTCACCCTTTCCAGCCTGATGCTGTCATTTGGTAACATTTTCTGCTATGTTTCACAAATAATGGGCTAAAAAGGCTTTAGAGGCATTGCGCAGAAAGAGCGACCTATGCCACGAATTTATAACTTCGATATGACAAAATTTTTTAAAAGGAGAAACAAACAGAAAGCAATCTTTTCTTTTTATACTTATTCAAACATCCTAAAATTACTTTTCAGTGTGTACGGGATCACACAAGGAAGCACTGGCTACGTACCGCTAGTGGATGAAATGAACGGTTCTGTTTGTGGCTNGGGCTAAAAAGGCTTTAGAGGCATTGCGCAGAAAGAGCGACCTATGCCACGAATTTATAACTTCGATATGACAAAATTTTTTAAAAGGAGAAACAAACAGAAAGCAATCTTTTCTTTTTATACTTATTCAAACATCCTAAAATTACTTTTCAGTGTGTACGGGATCACACAAGGAAGCACTGGCTACGTACCGCTAGTGGATGAAATGAACGGTTCTGTTTGTGGCTCTCGATGCACTTGATCTTTTTGACGGAAAAAATGAAATGAATGATTGAACAGATGAAGCTGATTCTGTTTTTGTTTCTGATGGTGCAGTTGGTTTCGGTCGTTTAGAAGTCTTAGGTCTCATGGAAGGAGAAGCTTTTGTTTTTCGTGTTTTTTGGGACAAAGCTGAAACAAAGAGAAAATGACTCTTACTATATCTCTTGCGTGGAGGCGTTTACGTGTATTGGTTTCAGTTTTCTGAGTTTGTGGACTTTCCTTTGTAAATGCTGAAGTTTTCTCAGAGGAGAATGAAGGTGGTTGATGTTGCCTTGTTTCATTAGTTGTTGGCATAATTGTTGAAATAAGTACAGAGAATAAAGTTGCCGTTACACTTGGGCTGCGGGTCCCAGATTGCTTGGGCGTCGGCGGTCCACCGCTACGCTCTTCTGTCATTGAGATTGTTTCTGATGAGAAAGACAGTGTATTCGAAACACCTTGAGTGAAGGAGTCAACTTCACCTTTACTCGGGGTTGATCGCAGCTGCTGTAGCTGAATACTGGCAGTTGATGCTAGTGATGTCTGTGGTGCTGTTGAATTACTATTACTACTAGCACCACTACCACCGCTTGACGTCGTTAAACCGAAGCATGTTAAAACTAAAAAGGAAAAATACAGTAGATAGTAAGTTCTTAAATATTTCATTTCGTTTCCTGTGAGGAGGAAATAATTTTCTCGCAGACAAGCAGAAGGCCAAAGTCAAGTATATAAATTGAAGTCTTCGAACCAGATGTATGCGCTTAACTGAAGTCTGGTGAGGATGAGTTAAATATCGGTCAGAGAATCACGCCCGTCATCTATACTTACATAAGATCTCGTCACATCGAATGACACTAAATATTTGAGTTGTTACTGTTTGTACCATGTCATTTTGACAGATCGGAGTAGGGCAAAATAGTCGAAAATCAACTATCATTTGAGCTAATGTGTCTGAATAATTAGCTGCTTTGGTACAATAATTATAACGAATTTGTTCTACTATCTGCGAAGGTGCTTGGTGTTTTTCCTAAATACATGGATAGACTCAGTTATGACCCTTTCAATATTTTCACACTTTTTCAGCTCATAACACGATCATTTAAACAGTGTTTTATTGAAAAGTAAAAAGAAACATATGAAAAGTACAAATTTTTGTCAGGCTCAGAGATATCAAAAATCTTTGGGCTAATTCTGCTTTAACTTAGCATAAAATGTCAAAGAGGGAAATTCAGAAACAAATATTTTACAAATATTCCTGTTTTTAAGCACCATTACTTTGGCGCCACTTTTAGTGTCTAATCTGTATTCTTTGAGACAGAGAAAAGTCATGAAAGAAGGAATTAACAAAAAACGTGCGTACTATTTCTTAAAGTCCTAAGTACGCAGTATATTTCTAGGAAAAACTTCGATCCATTTTGTTTCCTGTAAGTTGCGTATGGGTTGAGAAAAGGCTTCACCAAACGCCTGTCATTTGAATATAGTCCTATATAGTTTCACTGCATATTGTTCGCTTTGGCAGAGAAACTAGAGAAAAACGAAGAGAGTGAACTGATAATTGATGTGTTTGTTATCCTGCCTATTATTGAAGTTTCTTCCTGAGCTTTGTCTTTTAGTAACTGACTTCACTGCTTATATACCTTTGCTGGCAAGAAAAAATTCTGGTCTTGGATGTAGTTGCCTTAGTGATAATTGTGGATTTTTGATGGGATTAGAAATAAGTTTCACCATTTGACTGTTATGAAAATTATAATTTGTGACCAACGTAGCTGGTACGTTTAAATTAATTGTATTGAAGAACTCAATTACCAAAACCTTTTCAAGTCTGAGTGCCTTGTTTGATACTTCATTCGATCAAAAAAGTCAATCGAAATTCTAGGGTAACTACTTAGTTTTGGCTGGAACGTTCTGATGACAGAAAAAATCATAAAACATGCCTCTCTCTAAGCATCAAAGGTAGAAAAATTATCTTGACAACTAATCACGGTATGTCTGAAAAACTTTCAGAGTATGATTGTAACTGAGGAATTAACAAAAAACGTGCGTACTATTTCTTAAAATCCTAGATACGCAGTATATTTCACCGAAAAAGAAAATTTCGAAATATCCCGTTTACATTCGGTTTAGGCCGAACTTACTGTTTCTTTGCCGCGTACTCGAGAAAAAAATGTTTCCTTTGTGGGAATTTGCAGAATATACATTGCTGCATTTATTTCACATATCAGTTGATTAAAAGAACTATTATACAGACAAACTAATGAGGGTTTTCTGATTTTGTCGGATGAGGACTTGTCGATCTTAAGACAGACTTCTCCAGCCAATCGAGTATCTTGCCAAAGACCAGTCACGAGTGAAAAACTGATATGAAGGCTGCGTGATTACAATTACAAAATGTAAAGTTCATACATTGCTATTATCTGTAGAATTAAGAATTCTAGAATTATGAACTTTATGTACATGTAAAGTTGCTTATTCACACTCATCTTCACCCTCACCCCCACATTCACCCCTAGAATTCAGAATTTTAGAAAATTCTGAACAAGTAAAGTTCAACTTTACATACATGTAAAGTTCATAATTCTAGAATTGTTAATTGTGCAGATAATAGCAATGTTTGAACTTTACATTTTGTAATTGTAATCGCGCACGTCTGACTGATATATACTTTTTATCTCATATTCGGATTCTATTATCAAAACTGGAGTTATGAAAGAAATTTTCTTTTTCTCGTGACTCATTTTGACTTACGACGGAACATATATAAGTGTCCCGTCGCTTTTTCAACGAAACCTAGTGGGTTATAGGTTATCGATCATGCGGATCCCGAATATGGATATGAGAGCTGCCCTTAAAGCTTCGGAAGACCCAGTTTTCTGGAAAACTAGTTTTTCAGAAACTCTGAAAGACACCCAAAGCTTTCCTTAATAGGCCATGCTTGTAGCCCGCACATTTCTGATTAAAATGAGATCCCTCCCAGCCCTGCGTGACCTTTCTTTGCAAAGTTATTGAATTTACACGAATAGCCCTAAATTAATTTCTTCTTATTTCTGTACCTTCGAGTTGACAATGAACATTTAGGGCTTTTCTTGTAAATTCTATAACTTTGCAAAGAAAGGTCACACAGAGTTGGGAGAGATCTCATTTTAATCAGAAATGTGTGGGCTACAAGCATGACCTATTAAGAAAAGCTTTGGGTGTCTTTCAGAGTTTCTGAAAAACTGGTTTTCCAGAAAACCGGGTCTTCCAAGCCTTAAGAGCAGCTCTCATATCCATATTCGGGATCAGCATGATCGATAACCTATAACCCACTAGGTTTCGTTGAAAAAGCGAGGGGGTATTTACATATGTTCCCTCGTTAGTTATATAATTTACAAAATGAGCAGCATCGTCTATTTGCGAAAAGTAATCATCTCTGATAGTTCGACTATAACTCCGCCATTTTCTTGTTCGTTCTGTTTGAGCAATATCTCATTCGGAAGACT